TCTACTCTCAGCAGTCCTAAATATCAGAAGGTAAGGCGAGATGAATGGTTGGAACCTCAAGGTCGGATTTTTGATACCTAGCAAATTCTCATATTGTTTGTCATATATAATATTTGAAGGTTATTATTCTTATTTTCTTCAGGGAAAAAATTAGACTATACCCCTCTACCTCATTGAGCTTTCCTAATAAATTCCAGCACATTGAAACATTTCTAAAGAAATTTCAAGCTTACCATAAAATTGTAGGTGCTGTATAAAGGTTTGGGGTTTTTTCCCACCTTCCCCAAATACATTTGTTAAAAGGCATATTCATTATATCAACAGGATAAGCACTGAAGCCAAGAAATCAAAATTGATATTTTACTACCATCTGATTCTCAGACCCCATTCAGGTTTTGCCAACTGTGCCAGTGATGTCCTTAATAGAAAAAAGATCTGATTTGGAACCAAATGTTACAGTTAGTTGTTATGTACCTTTAGCTTCCTTCAATGGAGAATATTCCTCAAGACTTTCTTTTCTCATTGTCTTAACACGTATAAAGTTTTCAGGCCAGTTTTTGTTTTCATGTTTTTAACAGAATGTCCTCCAATTTGTTTTCCCATGATTAGATTCAAGTTACGCATTTTTTGTCAGAATATCACAAGAGAGAGGCTGTATGCTGTGTTCTCACTGCATCCTATCAAATGGAATGTGATTTTGATTTATCTCTTTACTCCTCATTTAACTTTCAATGTATTTATAACAATATGAATTCATGGATTTTTATTTTATTAAGTAGATTATCATATGTTACTATATTTATTTTGATTCTCAATTTGTCCCACCTTCAACCAGTGTGATCCTCTTTTTTAAAAATAATTTATTTACTGATCACAAAAATCTGCAAAGAGCTGATGAGACTCAGCAACAACAAAGAAAATAATCCAGTCAAAAAATGGGCAGAAGAGCTAAAAAGAAACTTCTCTGAAGAGGAAATGCAAATGGCCAACAGACATATGAAAAAATGTTCAACATCACTTGTCATCAGGGAAATGCAAATCAAAACTACCATGAGATACCATCTCACACCAGTGAGAATGGCACATATTAAAAAAACTAGCAACAACAAATGTTGGCGAGGATGTGGAGAAAAAGGAACTCTTCTGCACTGTTGGTGGGAGTGCAAACTGGTCCAACCACTATGGAGAGCTGTGTGGAGATTTCTGGACCTACTAAACATAGAGCTTCCATATGATCCAGCAATTCCACTCCTAGGTATTTACCCAAAGGACACAGAAACATCAATTCCAAAGAGCACCTGCACTCCTATGTTTATAGCAGCACTGTTTACAATAGCTAAGCTTTGGAAACAACCCAAATGCCCAAAAATAGATGACTGGATCAAGAAGATGTGGTACATATATACCATGGAATATTACTCAGCATTCAAAAAAGATAAACACATGCAATTTGCAGCAACATGGATGGCACTGGAAGGGATCATGCTCAGCGAAATAAGCCAAAAAGAAAAAGATAAATACCGGAGGGTCTCACTCATAGCAGGAATCTAGAAAACTTAAATAAGGGACCAGGAAAATGAATATAAGAAAGTGAAAATCAAAATCAACAAAAAACTATGAACCAGAGACACTTTTTGGGGGTGGGGGGCGGGAGGGGAAGGATTGGGGTCAGAATGGGGCGTTTGCAATTGTATGGGGGAATATAAAAATAAAATTTAATATTTAAAAAAAAAAAAAATTTATTTATTTATATCTATTTTTCCATCATTGTTCATTTTTTCACATTGCTTTTTTTTTTAAGATTTATTTATTTATTTATACAAGCATTGGGTACATTTAGAAGCGCAGGAGGGTGAGAGAATTCACCAGAGCCAGAGCAGGGAGCGGAACAGGCAGACGGACTAAGTACACTGCTGAGGGGAGCAGTGGGTGGCAGGAGAGGTCTGCGCGCCATGTGGTACCCTCGCCCTGTGGCCGGGATCTAACTGGCGCTGCAGAGGCTGCGGGCAGCTTCACAAGCCAGCGCTCAACTGCTGCGCCACGGGGGAGGCCCGTTCTTGCTTTCTTATCTCAGGTGTAGTCCCCATAGAATTCCCACCGACAATTCACCCATGTACCTTCACCAGTCCCCCATGCGCTTCCCGCGCTTGTCTTAAAGTTGGCCCCTGCATCTTCTTGACACAGTCTCACTACTCTTTTAGCTTTTCCATACTATTTGGCACAATATATTCCAGGCTTGTCCTTTTGCTGCTCTGGAGAACCTGTAGTTTTCTAATTGAAACTCCATTAGAAACTCCATTCTTTCTAACGGAGGCTGGTATTTCAAAACTAAGGCTTGATTGCTCTGTTTGCTCATTGGCACTAGGGTCTTGCTATTCCCATTCCTTACGGCACTTCAGGCCCCTTGTATTTAAACCAAAAAAATCATAGATTTGTCAACATGGGGCAAATTGTTTTTCTCAGTTGGAGGTTTTTCTTTTGACCTTATGGTGATTTTGGCAAAAATAATTGATCATTTTGTTGTTCAATGTATCAATTTAGTTACTTTGTTTTGGCTTCTGGGTCTTATTTCACACTTTAAAGTTACAAACATTTCTTCACATGTTGTCTTCTAGCAATGTCATAGATATTTTTTTTTTTAATCTTCAAAATGCACCTACTAGAATGTTGGTAAGAAGATTGTTTCATTTGAAGAGCAAACTCAATGCCACAGAATAAAATACTGTCTGAGGAAAATCAAGCCAAACCTAGTTTTTTAGGTATGTGGGTATTTTGTGATTTCCTAATCCATGCTATTGATTTTCTAAACTGGTTAACCATTATTGTTAATTTGAAGCTTTTGTAAAACACACTGGTACTCAGTATGCAACACACAAAACCCTTGAAGCAGGCCTAAACAGATAACCGGGTAAGGAATTTTTTAGGCTCCATAGGTGATTATAATGTGCCAGCTACCAACGCTGAGAACTTACAGATTGCATTATACATCCCTGAGGCTGCCTAAAATTTTACCACTAATCACTGCTTCATTTAATTTAAGCAATCCCTTTTTGTTTATCTTCTTTAAAAAATATAAATATTTTCAGAGATTTAACCCTCAAATTTCTAGTAGTGTAGCACTAATGAGCTGAACTGACTTTCAAATCAAGACACAAGCATTACAGTGACAGCTAATCATGAAGTGGTGCCTGGCCATAGCCCATTCCTCACATTGGCTGTGCACAGAGGGCTAACTAGGTTAAGGCGATAGGGTATAAAAGCGGGAAGAAGCTCTGCTATTAGGATGATCTCAAGAGTAAGCATAGAGAGAGACCTGGACTTTCTGAAAACAAGAGCAACTTGAAAAGCACATAATACTAAAAATAGGGCTCACTGTCTACGTGATTGTAGACAAGTTACTTCTCAGAACCTCCATTTCTTCATTTGCAAACAATGAGGTTAATTCTAATACCTATTTCATTGAATTATTGCTAAGATTAAATCAGATCATAAAGCTAAAGTTCTATAAGGTACCTAGCATATAGCAAATAGGAAGTAAATGGTTGCCTTTAAATAAGGAAAAGCTAGTCTTCTTTCTTCTAACCAGTACCACTTCTAACAGTTAACTATTTCTTCATGAACAAAATTGTAAATTGGCTTAAATTTGCTTAAATGATCCATATATCATATTCACTAATATCATTATTTAATACTAATCTTAAAATACTTTTCAGTGAAGACAATTTTTTTAGAAATTATAATGTATTCCTTGATTTATAAGGAAAAACCAGTAAACTAAAAACTAGACTTAAATAAATTAATTTTTAAATAGTTATATTACTCAGTCTAATTGTTGGAGTTGTACTGAGATGTTGAAAGAAACCAAAGTAATAAATATGCTATAATTTTTAAACACCAAAACTCCATTGCTACAATTCTTAGAGTATCTTTTGTATCATATATTCTGAAAAAAAGTGATGTTAGTACATGAGGTGGTTATGGATGATACTGACTATCAGAATTTATCATGGTATTTGAATTAGTATGTATATACATATTTCTTATTTTACCTGATGCATGTTAAGAGTCAACCGACCTTATGACAGTTTGAAATAATAGACAAAACACCTCAGAAATAAGCTCAGAATTATGTAGCCTGAGGCATGCACAATTTCCTGTAGTGTCAAGTAAAATGAATATGAAGTGCATCCTTAATAAACAGAAACAAAAACTGATAGCCCTTACAAAGAGGGAATTCTCTTAAGCTTTGTATATATATGAAAAATCTATCAACACAGTTCTTCTATTTAAGAGAAATTGATGGTTTAAGTAAACTGTATTTATATAACCATCAATTCTCTTTATAAAGATCTTCAACTGGGAAATTTTTGCACCCATTAATCAGTTCCAAGACATAGTTAGTTGAGGGAGTGGGTACTGACGCCTAAACCAGCCCACAGGTTGCATGGGTAGAGAGAATATAATGTTTGTTAGCTTGCAAGTTGTTAGTAAGCATCCAAGATGAGCTAGCTGTGTGTTAGGTAACTCTGGGCATGTATAGATAAATGTAGAATGCATGTGAAATGACAGATAAAATTAAACATTTTTTTACTATACCAGCGAGATATAGGTTTACATAGGTTGAAGTAGTCAAAGAAGTCTTTGTGCAATAGCACTTGACTTGGGACTTATAAGTGTTTGGATAGATGAAGGTAGAGGGAGGAGAAGAAGGCATTCTGGGAAGAACAATGTATAGATATAAACAGCAGTGGAATAAGCATTGATTGTATGGGGACTATATTCATAAGTTATTTCTATATAACATCTCACCTTTCTAATTTAAAAAAAAAAAAAAGGTTTTTTGCCCCTTCGGTTGCCCAGGTTTGGTTTGCCCAAGTTGGTTTGATAGTTCTGCTGATGGGGGGCAGGCAGGGTGGATCTAATTGGACTTGCTGGCAACTGGGCTGCAGTCAGCTAGAAAGTCAGCTGGGGACTGGATGGTTTTAGAATAATCCACTTACATGTAAGGTTCACTGGCTGGTTGTTGGTTGGAGGGTGGCTAAAGTGTCTCAGCTTCTCTCTCCACGTTCTCTCTTATGCTCCAGCTGGCTAGAGTGGTTCTTCTCCTTTCCTGGAAGGGGTACAAGAGAGTAAGAACAAAAGCATGTCAAGGTCTCATGAGGCCTAGATTCTAACCTGACGCACCATTATTTTTGCTACTATTGCTCAACATATCACAAAGACAGTCCAGGTACAAGTGGTGGGGAGATAGACTTCGCCTGTTAATGAGAGAAGTACAAACTCACATTACAAAAGGAGCAGTTATTTTTGCAAACAATCTCCCACATGGGCCAAACTCACTTAAGTACGAAGGTGGTGACCATATTAGAAATTAGCATGAGTATCTCTTAAAGAAGATTAGATCTTTAGGAAGAATGACTGAAGGAGTTTGACAGCTGCATCAGTTTTTCTGGTAAGAGATATAAGATCCTATTACTATCACAAAATATCATCAGACTGGGTGGCTTATAAACAAGTTGTTTCTGTTCTGAAGACTAGAATGCCCAAGACCAAGGTACCAGCATGCTCACATTCTGGTGAAGGTTCTCTTTCCGGTTCATAGCCCATCCCTTCTCACTGTGTCCTCAGACAGTGGAAGTGGTTGGGAGTTTAGTGTCATTTGTTTTATACAGTATGAAACCCAAACGTAAGGACTTCACCCTCATGATCTAAGCACCTCTGAAAGGCCTCACCTCTTAATACTCTCACAATATTAGGTCCATAGTAGGTCAAGAATAGAGGCAGTATTGTAAGAATTTTTGTGTGTTAAAAGTAACCACCAAGTTGGCCTGCCCTGGTGGCACAGGCAGGCGGTTGAGCACAGCGCTGTGAGCGCTGTGAAGCTGTCCGCAGCCTCTGAAGTGCCGGTTCCATCCCAGCCGGCTGACAAGGGTCCCACAGACCTCTCCTGTCTCACCCACTGCTCCCCTCAGCAGTGTATTTCATCAGTCTGCCTTTTCTATTCCCCACTCTGTCTCTGGTGAATCCTCTCACCCTCCTGCGCATCTGGCCTGTACCCCGGTTCTTGTATAAATAAATAAATCTTTAAAAAAAAAAAAGTAACCACCAAGTAATTGGTTAATACAATTTAAGGATGCCCCCCATCCTTAGAAATTTGGGGGCATTCTTGAATTGGTCTTGGTGCACACCTGTACCTTTTTGAACTGTCTTTTCCTGTCCATATTTTAGGGCTGCAGTCTGTCCTTGGACTTGGTTGGGTCATGAGTATACAGGATTGTGCTGAATCCCCCAAACAGCAACATAGCCAGCAAATCTGCTGGTGTGAGCACTTCAGGTGCACATTCATCAGCATTCAGCTGTTCAACAACTGAAAGATTTTTTTTTTAATGATGTTTGCAATCTCTTAAGCTAAAAGAGTTTCCCAGAAGATTTGAAACAAATAACCAAACTTGATTTCTTGGATCCTATTTAGAAGCTCACGTATGTTTACTTTCAAACTGGACCTGTTAAGCACCCCACTTCATTCTTTTGGTGATGGGACTCACAACTTGATCATATCAACTATGACCTGCCAAACATCATTATATATTAACCTTAAGTCTACCTAGAGTAATAAATCATGGTACTACTGCTTCTAGCTACTCTAGATACCAATCAGGTTAAAAAGGAAAAGTATATTTTGTAAATATCTTAAGATGTACATGGCAGCTAAGTTCCACAAGAAATCTACAAAATAAAACAAATACACTACTGGCTTTTAAAAGTACTTTATTGCTTGCAGAAGTCTAAGGAAAAAAATTGTAATTGGGTTAGGTCTTGAAAGAACTTATGAGGTCAGTCTGAGAATGCTTGTCTTAGGAGAGAAAAATCATTTAATACCAAGTAAAGATTTCAGATACTCATCATACTTCCCAAATTGATTAAAAAATTTATTGCTTTAATAACTCAAAGTTCAATTGTTATTACCTACCCTGATACTCATTTCAAATGGCCACACTATTTTGTGCTAATGATTTTGCTTTTCCAAAGACTTGTAAATCTTCTATGCAAAGATTTAATTGCTTCCTATGAAGGAAAGAGGAGAGAATGAAAATGCCTAGTGTGAAGTTCCAGAAAAACAAAGCATTTATCTCTATTTCTGTCTGTTGAGATGTTTTAAGGTTAATAATTGGGAATTGCTCATTTTAAAGCCACCTTGCATTTAAAAAAGACACATGCTTCCTGCTGATAGGATTTTCAGACCGCCTAGAATTTATTATAATTTTATGAGAGAAAAATCTTAATAGCTCAGTGATCAAATACATTATGAAATAATTTTAGAAAACCTAAGTATTTATAATTTTTGTAATTGTTCCTTATAAATTTCACTTTCCCCTCCTGTACAGTTATGTTATCAGGATTTGGAATTTTAAATTGCAGCTTTCATTCATTTTACAACAGTATGATGAATGTTTTATCTTCCCTGGGAATTATTTCCAGAGGTAATAAGAACAGTCATCTGTTATATGGTCTGCATTTCTTAAGTTATTTTTTGTGCTTTTTGTTGTCAGCTTAGCAAAATTAATTAGATTAATTCCCTAAATTCTACAGAATATTATTAGATATCAATTAAGCATTCAGAAATGGTTATTTTATATACAAGTTTATAGACTAATTTTAAGAGGAAGTAAATCCATCTAGGTTAATATATTTTAATGCTTAGACTTTATAAAACAGTCTACTATCTATTAATGTCATTATTTTTGTAGGAATCTGGTGAAAAGCCATTTATATGTATTTTGAATAAAATATTAGCCCACTTTAAGCATTTTGGGGTCTGTTCTTTATCTACATTTCAATAGGCCTACATTCTGGTACACTCAGAAAAAAACAAAACAAAACTCCACCACTAAAGCAAAAAAGATATATCTATATACCCCAACTTGGTTGCCAGTTCTAATGCCTAATGCCAGTGATTTTATGCTTTTATTTTTTTAATTATTTTTTGAAAAAATGTTTAACTCTTAAAAATTGTGGTAGATGACATTTCTCAGTCCCTTTTGCAGTTAGTTGTAGCCAAGTTACTGAAATTAAGTCAAAGGAATATGAGCAAAAGTGATGAAACCCCTTCTCGGTCTTTCAGAAATCCCACTGCACGCTTCTCACCTTCTGCTTGAATGGAAATGACTCTGGGATCTAGAAAAGGAGATCTTTAATGTTTGGAGGAGTGATAATTACAAAAGTTGCTGTTCAAGTGATGTGTAAGTGATAAAACTTAGTCAAAACACTGGAATTTGGGGGTTGATTTTTTTAATAGGATTTAGCCTATTCTAATTAATATGCTTATTCATCTCTTTTTTTTTAATCTCCCAACTCCCCCCCCCCCACACACACACACAACATTTCATCTATTTTTCTTTTGGGTCAACTATCTTTGTATTTATACACACGCACATATAGAGTTTCTTTTTTTATTTTTATCTCCCAACACCTCTACTTTTTTTCTGTCCTATTTATAATCCTGAAGGGTTGTTTATCTGCTGATTATTTCCACTCAACTTTTCATGAATACACAGTATCTTCTCTTTCTTTTCTAAGAGAACTGAATTTACCATCCTGTAAGTTCTTTATCCCTGATAATGTTTCTTGTTTTGAAGGTTGCTCTGTCTGAAATTAACAGAGCAGTCCTACTTTGATTAATGTTTGCATGGTGTTTTCCTCCATCCATTTACTTTTAATCTATACATGTCTTTATATTTAAAGTAGGTTTCTCATAGACAATGTATTGTTAGGTCTTATTTTTTGATCCACTCTGACAATCTCTGTCTTAATTAGCACATTTAGACCATTGATATTCAAAGTGATTATTGATACAGTTGAATTACTATCTGCCATGTTTGTTACAATTTTCTATTTGTTCTTTTTTTCTTACTATTTTTGTCTTCCACTCTTGTTCTGCACTTTGTGACTTAATTGAGCATTTTATAGGACTGTTTCTTCTCTCCTTTCTTAGTATATTGGTTATACTTTCTAAAAAACTTTAGTGGTTGTCATACAGTTTACAATATACATTTACAGCTAATTTGAGTCCATTTTCAAAGAAATTATACCACCTCATGGGTAGTGTGGGTGTCTTCTAATAATAAAATTCCAATTCCTCCCTCATATCCCTTATATTCTCACTGTCACTCATTCATTTCTAGCAATATTAAGTATATATATGAATATGAATATATATAAGGATACACAATCAAATCTATTGCTGGTATTATTTTGGACCAAATTATCTGTCAGATTAATAGAAAAAATTTTAAAATGAAACAAATTTTCCTTCACTTATTCCTTCTTTGATGCATTTCCTTTATGTAAATCTGAGTTTCTGACCTATATTACTTTCCTTCTTCCCAAGGAACTTCTTTTAACATTTCTTGTATACTTGTAACAAAATTCTCACAAGTTTTGTTTGTCTGAGAAAGATTTGATTCCTCCTTCACCTTTGAAGGATAATTTTTAGGGTGCAGAATTTATTTTCTCTCAAAACCTTAAATATTTCATTCACTCTCTTCTGGCTCTCATAGCTTCTGAAGGGACTGAGTGTAATTTTTCTTTGTTCCTCTACATGTAAGGTGCTTTTCCCTTTCCACCTTGCTGCTCCTGCCTTCTTTTGGGATTTCTTTCTGATATCCTGTAATGTGTCTAGGTGTAGGGTTCCTCCCACCCTGGCCACTTTTCCAGCTTGCTGTTCTTTTTAGTTCCTAGTTCTGTGGTTTGGTATCTAACATTAATTCGGGAGAAACACTCAGTCACTATTGTTTCAAGTATTTTTGCTGTTGTTGTTCCTTTCTTTTTTCCCTCTGGCATTCCCACTAATATATGTTAAATCTTTTGAAATTGTCCCACCATCTTTGGACATTCTATTCTCCCCCCCACCCTGCCTCTGTTTTTTTCTGTTTTTGAGGTTTAAACTGAGATAATCTCAGGCTCAGAGATTCTTCCCTTGGTTATGTCCAGTCTAGTAGTAAGCCCACTAAAGGCTTTGTTTTTTGTTTTTTGTCTCTACAATATTTTTTTTATTCTTTCTTAGGATTTCTATTTGTTTGTGCATTGCCCATCTGTCCTTAGATGCTGTTT